AGAAAAACTTTAGGGGAATAAATACCAAATTTTTGTTCAGTGTATCAGATGGCTGCAAAGAAGAAGGAGCAATTGGCTAATTATTCTGTGACCATCTTTTCATCTTCTCTTTTACAGCTGCACCATTCCCACTGGTCACCAAGGCCCTAACCAGCACACTGCTGTGTGCATGAAGTCCTGCTCTCATCTGCTCAGTCTGGTAACTGAAAGTGCAAAGAAGCAATTAGGTTCACAATCAGCCCATTAGCAAGTGAACATTCAGGATCAGATCTATGTTTTCCATGCCCAAGGCTGAAAGGTTGGCCTATAGAAACGTTTATCTGTATCATATACTAAAGTATCTGCTGTGGCTTTTGCCAGTGTTTCTACTTTACCGTCCCACTTTTGAACTATAGCTTTGCTAGAGAAGTAAGATGTTTTACATAAAAACGGTAAAGGCTGGCATGGATATCCTAGTCAAAACACAGTGCCTATTATATATGCAAATATTTGCGTTTCAGTGAGCCTTTGGAGTGGCATCACTTTGAGGAAATCATGTTTGAAATGATCCCAAATTGAGCTATTAATGTTTTTATCCTTATTGTGCTGTATGATTTATCCTTCAGTGCTCAAGGTAATGAAGTGTTAACCCACTATGTGCAAATGGGATGGAAGTAGGAATACAGTTTTCTCTGTTCGTATTTACACAGCTTGTATTTATGCTCTTTCAAAGTTGAAATTATGGTTAATATTAGAAAACACAAATATGGCATTTTATTGTGCTGAAGGAAGGACCTACAACCAAAGGTAAAAGTGCTGTGAGTTCATATTTCATCAGAAAAGGCTCGATCAATATCATATTTTAATGTATAATGTAATGGACATATAAAGCGTTTAAAGGCCGCTTGAAGAACTGTTATTATGTACTTTACATAGCTTGATGCATGCATTTAGAGAAAATGGAGCATAACACAAGTTCTTCAAGGTTTTGGATTTCTAAAGCGTAACTGCAATGAGAGGAATTGTTTTCCGCAGGTGCCAATGGCTCTCCCTTGTTGCTGGATGAGCAGCTATGAAAAGTGGGCATCCACATAGAACCATGGCCGTGGAAACCTCTGCCACTTTGGCAAACAGCATGCAAGTCCAACACAGGCCATAGTAAGTAAATCATGTTACTTGCTTTTTAGCTCCAATTTAGTGGGTGTTGATTGGTGTCACTGAATGGGAGCAGCCAATCTCGGCTGCACACAATGGAGAAAATGCACATGGAACAAACAGAGCTCTTGGAGTTTGTAGTACTATTCACTTTCAAAACCATCTACTATTCAGTATGAAAAATTGACTGCTTTTTGCATATTACTTCATCTTATAATGAGCCTTTTTCCCTTTAATTATTGTAGGTTGGGTATGTGCTGCTCTCCATTTAAGTATAGTCTTTTGTCATCAATTTCTATTAAAACAACCTTTTTAAAGTAAAATTATATATTCCTTTGGGGTTCTGCTTAAATATTTTAAAGGCGTGTTATGTTCAAAATGACAGCTCCAATATGCAATGCAGTTAATACTTAACATTTCAAAACTCAACCTTTGTTGTGTAAATTAAGAGAGAACCTGGCAGAAAAGAAAAACTTATTCGTGACCCACTGTAAAAAGAACTGAGGATTTCAGTTTCTTGATCTTCTACGTATCTCCTCCGACCTGGGAAAACCTAAAAAGATTTACAGCCCACTTTATAACATATTTTCTGTAAAGCTCAGATTGTGGTTTGGAAAGTTTTATCTGTGCTTTCAAATGCATTAAACTCTTCTTTCTTTGAGAATAGGATTTCTGAATTACTTCTTTCCATCTGCAGTATAGGAACAGGAATGCTACTTGCCTTCGATCTTGCCTGGCATTTCAAAGTTTCACTTTTATGTTTGTCTATCACTTTGTATTTGTATTGTACAATTGGGCTTCTATCCCTGCTAAACTCTTATTCTTCAGGTACTGTGCAGTGAATACACGTTTGGAATTAAAACTAATTTTGAATTAATTGAAATCTAATTGCTAACTAAAATTTATCATACATTTCGTACAATAGTGCATAAAAATTAATTAAGATTATGAAAAATAACTATGTGCTTTCTTGGTAATGTGGCACTTTAAATGCATTTTTGTCAGCCGAAAACACAGAACACTGAATTGAGAATAAATAGCTTTCATTAATATAATTCTATATATGGCTTTCAGAAGGTTTATTAATTCCAGTGAGCAGTTTATGCAACTGTGAACTAACATGCAACGTTTCCTTCTGTGACATTTGAAAAAATCAGAAATTGAATCCCAATAACAGCTGTCTCCTCTACAATAAACATCTGGCACAAATTCAGTATTTATGTTATATATGATAAATATACACACTTGTGTGCAGCAGTCTGACTTTTGCAATTTGCCACTCAGGTGGATAATTGTATTGTCCTCACTGGGATTGTAATGGGGCTACCAGATGAATATCCAGCTGCTTCCATCCCTTTGAAGGAACGGAACAGAAACCTGCTCCCACCCTTACTATGGAAGGGGCTCAGCGTTCAGCCTGGTGTTTTCTACCTATTTAACCTAATGTAACAAGGAGTACAAAACCACTCTTTTGACTGTAGACCCCATTCAACAGTTTCTCAAAGTCCTTTTAAAAATTCCCCTGGATGCTGCTTGAAAAATCTGGGCTTCTCACACGGGAGTTGAACTATGCTCTAGATTAAGTTTGGGAGCTGACAACCTATGAAATATTAGTCATCTTGTGAACTCCACGCATGCATATGTGCCAGGGCTACATTATGTGCTGATGTCCTAGTGGCAGTAGGGATATGGCAAAGAAAGGAGGTGATTGTGTCATCTTCTCTCCAAGACAGTTAACAGGAGTAAAGGGCTGGAGCTCTGTCTTTTCCTGCCTCATTCCTGTCCTAAAACTGGGCGTATCAGCTCTGGTTCTAAGCTAATACAATTATCAGAATAACTGAAAATAAAAGAAAAAGTGCAGGCAGTAGAACAAAAGAGCTTGAAATCTGAAGTATGGGGACAAGGTACCTTGCTGCCTCACCTTTTAAAAGGAGATGTTCTTCACAGAGTGGTGAGGTGCTGGAACAGCTGCTCAGAGAGGTTGTGGAAGCCCCGTCCCTGGAGGTGTTCAAGGCCAGATTGGATGGGGCCCTGGGCAGCCTGGTCTACCATTAAATGAGGAGGTTGGTGGCCCTGCATGTGGCAGCGGGGTTGGAGATTCACGATCCTTGAGGTCCCTTCCAACCCCGGCCATTCTGTGATTCTGAGATGACCCCAGAAGGAGGAATAGAGCCAGCGTGCTCCATTCCATCCACTTAAGGGTGGTGATCCTCAGGTGTTATCACCCCAGCTGCCAGAGCACTGTTCTGCTGCAGAGATGGTACAAATCATCTGTATTGCTTGTTGTCCAACATAAATCGCCATCCTCCCCATATGACATATATTTGTCTCTTAGGTATATGTATATATGCTTCACATATCAGGTCACATTTCTCATTGCTTTCTTGTTACATTTATGATGGAGTGATATCAATTTCATAGAAAACTTATCTTTTAAAAGGTTTCAGTCAGAATTTCTTTGGTTTGCAGCACAATGAATACTAGGCTTGCTTGTCATCAACATCTAGAGTGCGTGATGTTCTATGAAAACCACATTTCCCTGCTCTGTATATTTAAAGCTTACCAGTTTCCAACATTTCAAAAGTGGCTGCTTCGGTACATGATTCCCAACAGAAAATTCAGTTTCTGGAATATTTAAAAAAAAAAAGAAAATCGAGACTGCATTGTTTTGAGGTCATGTCACATCATTTATGCAAAGTGGTTTCAGGCAGAACAGAAGTAATAAACAACCAGTTCTTTCAGGGATTTTTTTTTAATTTTTTTTTCACTGAGGAATGATTCTTACCAAAAAGATGTGGTGATTCCCATCGGAACTAGGCTAATTTCATAAGAAAGGAGGTAATGATTTTCTTACATGTAAGTGTAAAGTAATTGATTGCTTGCTCTGCATTCCTGGTAGGTGTAGCAGCAGACTTGCAAGGTGACATAACAACTATTTGCAAGTCCTACGTGCTGTCTGATGTTACTAAGGTAACTAAATTGCACAGCAATCTGCTTGGAAGTCCCTAAGAAGATAAAGTGGTCAGTGCTGCTCCGCTTCAAAAATATCAGGTACCGACCCTTTTCTGTATTATTTGGGATCTAACAAGAAACAGACATCATTTGGTCACGACAACACAGATTGCTTGCAGAAAAACTGTAATACCATATATTTTTTCCCCTCCATCCAACCCTGCTTTTTGCAGAATATTGCTGACTGGCTGAAATGTTGCCCAAGCAACATCCATCCTTCAGCTGTGCTTCTCACAGTGGTTCAGTTGAAGAAGGAACAAGAGCCAGGGAAGTGTCTGGAAATCTCTCTTGCATCCTCCCAGTCTGAGACCAACCAGAGCAGCTCCTGTTTGCATAGGATTGCACCGTTGTCATTGGAAGAAGAAACGTTCCAGCGTGAGAGGGATCCTCAGCTGGCAAAGCTGTATCTAGCAGAGGGCTCTGAACAAGCCCTGTGCAACTGAGAAAGGCATTGGCTGAAACAAACTGGAGGTCTTCCTCTTTAACGTGGATTTCATGCTTGGTGCCATGCAGACAGCACTGGCAGGAGGATGATTTCAGTCTCTGCTACATCAATAAAAAAAAAAACAAAGGGGTTGTTTAAACTTGGCACTGACACAAATAAAAGCTGTTTTTTGGTGTCTTCGTGTACTTCATGGTGGTTCAAGGGGAAAGTAAGGAAGCTGCTGGCAGCAGGGGCGGGCATCAAAACCGAGAGAACACATTGCAGTATCAATGTAAATAGATGGCAGGAGGGCAGGGGCCAACCTCACAGCCCATCATGAGGCTCTTAGGGACCGTGCTGAGGCACTTTAAGGCCTGCAGTGCCCCACCCCAACTGTTAATGAGCTCATTAACTGCCGTTGCCCCTCTCTCCCTTGCACCGAACTCAGGGCAGTGGGCTTCAGAGTGAGGAGAGATCATCTCTGTGAAGAGCTGTGTTCTTGGAGGGATGCCTGCGCAGAAGCCCAGGTAGGCTTATGTGAGGCTGCGTTGGTCCTCTGACTTCAGCGTGGGATGGGATGGTGGTCTCTTGTGGTGGTGGTTTTGAGCAATCAGAGGGCTTTAAGTTTCGAACTCTGGTGGAGTTAATGCAGAAAGGTGGGTGAGAGTAAATAACTCCTGACTATAGGAAAAAAAAGTGCCAGTCTGCTCCGTTGGTACCGAGCTGTTCCGATGCTGTTTCCTGCGTCATTGAATGTCTGGATGCTGGAAAACGAAAAGCACAACGCGCTTGTCTGAAAAGGACAAATGAAGGGAAAATGTCTCTCAGGATGCTTGAGTGGGAAGATGTTACAAGCCATTATCTGGTGTGCTTGAACTCCTTCCTACGCGTGGGAAGGCGTATTTGTGAAGCGGTACAGGATAGTCAATAAAACCCACGCAAACAGGAGGCACTTGCTGTCACCGAGCAGGGTAATTAGCGTAGTGCCTCTTTTAGAAACCCCAACGTATCGTGAAAACCTGAGTAAGTCACTGCTCCTGGGTGGATACAAGTCAGGATCGTTATTCACGTGGATTACTCCTAAAGGATACGCTCATTTAAGTTAGCTCTTGCTTACTGAATTAGCCAGGCTTCGTGTTAATATTTAGCTGCCAGGGAGAAGTAATCTACAGGAGAATCAAGTCGTCGTTAGCATGGTGCTTGACAAATATTTCAAGCTTTGTTATGCTGGGTGTGGAGCTGCCCGGGCGCCTTGCCCTGCTGCCCTCTGCCCAAGCCTGGGCTTTGCTTTGTTTCCTTGGAAACGATTTTAGCCCATCATTTCTTTCTTCGTTGTCTCTCTTTTATTCACATCTCTTAAAACAAATTTCCGTGGTCCTGAGGCTTCCCCTCCCTCCCAATAAACCGCTTCCTTAGTTTTTGTTCTTGAGCAACTACCCTTGCTGGGGATTTCTATGCTTATAAAGGTGTTGAGATCTCTGCTATTAGAAGTGAGTGAATGAGAAGTTTAACAGCTCATTGGCTGCTAAGTGCCGATCGCACTCGCCCTCAGCTTTGCTACGGTAGGGCAGAAAAGGTCTGCATTTGCAACAGGTTTAGCTGTCTGGTTGTGATGTGCTGGGCGCTTCTGATGGCCCTGTCCACTTATTCCTGATACTTTCTGTATGCGCCTGAGTAGAATTGCATGATGGGCAGCTGGCTGGTTTTCATAGGAAAGGTGTGCATCACGAATGATCTCTGTCTCTTGAAATCACCTGCAGATAGATGTTCAACTGACAGGTTTTCAGGAAGGGAGGCAAAGCATATTGTTCTGGTTTGATTTACTGAGGGGCTGACTTAATTTATGCTGTTTCAACGGTGTTGGGTAGTAATCGAGATGTGATTACAAGTGGGACGAGTCTTAGGGATGCTGAGCTCTCTTCTGTTCTTCACCACTTGTGCATCCTTGTAGAAGTGGGGAGGAAATGAAGGAGGGCATTTCTGAAATGTTCAGAAGTTAGCAATTGAAAGAAGAGCAAACAAATATTTTTGCTTATTTTGACTGGAAGAACAGTTTGCTCTTTCCATATGTCTACTGTGGAATTTGCTTCCTACCGAGGAATGTAATTACAAAGTGTGTTGAGCTCCTGTTGTCTCAAGGTTATGTTCAGGACATAACAAACAGCCATCAGTGTCTCAGTGCAAATGATCAACTACAAGAATTCATCAGAGAGCGCTGAAATTCACTTGCTTAATTGTAAAATAATTCAAATGCAAGTACAATTTACTTGAGAATGGTTATAAAAATGAACTGGAAAATAAAACACTTTTTTTTTTTTTTTTTCTCTTGGCATTGTGGGAGATCAAAATGTCACGGTGTTGTTACAGACAGCTGGAGAACTGAATTTCGCAGATCAGCACAGAGTGCTGGCGGTGGTGTGAGCCTGGAAGTGGCTGTGATGCTGTTCTGTGAGAGCAAAGGTGACCTGTCGTGTGCCAGATAGGTCACAGACACTACAAAAGCAAAGGGGGAAGTAAAGCCAAAACATCAATCTGATCCAGATTTGAAAAGTTCAAATACTGCTATGCACTGTTTGGCAGAGTTGCTTGTGCTTAAGTGCGGTTAGGTGTAATGGTATTTTGCTTACCAAGTCAGAAGTGCTAAGGATGTTTTCTGAGTATTATCAAGCAAGTCCTGCTATGAAAAGTGCCTTTCTGTTCAACTAAGTCCTGGTAAGAGATATATTTGTTTTAATGCTTGATTGTTGATTTGAAGTACTGATAGTGGGGTCCCTTAACTGTAACTATTCTTACTGAGATGGATAGTGATAGGACAAGGGGGAATGATTTTAAACTGAGACAAGGGAGGTTTAGGTTAGATATTAGGAGGAAGTTTTTCACACACAGGGTGGTGACACACTGGAACAGGTTGCCCAAGGAGGTTGTGGATGCCCCATCCTTGGAGGCATTCAAGGACAGGCTGGATGTGGCTCTGGGCAGCCTGGTCTGCTGGTTGGTGACCTGCACACAGCAGGGGGGTTGAAACTAGATGATCACTGTGGTCCTTTTCAATCTAGGCCATTCTATGATCCTAGCAGCTCAGTAATTCTTATTCAGGCAAAAATCTCTTTGTTCAAACGACAGTGTTTTCCCTTCTGTCTTGATTTTCAGCATTGCAGTACCTTGAAAATTCCTTCCTAATATCTGCAGCAGCACCAATAAAGTGCGTGTGATGTAGAGTCATACTGAATGGCTCAGCTTGTGACCAGCCATGAAGTGTCTAACAGTCATCTGGCATATTTATGCAAATGGACAATTGACTTCCTGCGGCTCATGAAAGTGTGAGCATCTTTGTCCAAGAGCAGCATTGTCTGGGGAGTGTGTGCACTCAGCCTGTCCATTATTCCATTGCTTCTCTTTGTCTTTCTATTTTTTTTTTTTCCCTTATTATTCAGAGTCCATGATGGAAAAATAGTTTTAAATCCTTATTGAGGAAGAAGAAATGTACTTTGTGTAAATGCTTAATGCCTGAGGAGGTGGTTTGAAAACATGGAAAGAGCAAACTGAAGAGGATTGCAGAGTTCCTCCTCCAGACTTTTTATGCTGCTTGCCATATGCTGGAGGAGGAAACCACTGCAGCTTCTGAAGCTTATCTTGGAGGTCTTTTCCTGATTTCCCACTGAGTTTTCCTGCTTTTCTGCTACACTTTGAAGTAAACTTCTGTACTTGCAGTGGATTTTTTAAAATTGCTTTTTAATTTTTAATTTCTTGAATTAAAATGAAACAACTGAATGGTTGGGGGCGGCTGTGGTTTCATATGAATGCATCAACAGAGCCATATATGTGTATATACACACACTGACACACGTTTCAAAAATAGATTAAAACACTAGGTAGTAATAAAAGCAAAAGTAGATGTTGATTAACAGAAAGGTACTCAACAAAGGCTTTATTCCAATTATTATGAATTTCTTCAGCTAAATGAACTGAAACGATGCTGTGCCCCAAAGCATAAAAAATGCCATGATATTAAATTGCTTAGTCTTACATTCAACAAAATATTGAAAAAGTATATTGTCCTATTTAATTCTTTTTTTCTCGTCTTGATATCCAGTAATCAGTTTGTTATATTTCTGAGCTGTTAAAGTTTAATCAGAATCTAGAAGGCAAGAGTAAGTTCTATATGAAAACAGTTGATACAAGTGCTGTAGCTGGATCCTGGCTGCTCTGCAGTAGCTCCTTCTAAAACTTGGGGGTGACTTTGCCAAGTGCTTGATGCCAAGCAAATCCCCTTGCTTCAGGAGGCCTTCAAAGCTGGTTCAGGAATTCATGAGCATGTGGCATATGTGTTGGGTATCTCTACGACCCAGCTATTCAGATGCAGAAATATTTCAGTATTCTACATGCGTGCTGCAAAGTGGCAACAGGAATGCATGGGCAGCACTACTTGCATTTGGAAGAAGCTAATTTACATCAGTGAAGATATCCTCATGAACTGCTGGTTGTGTTAAATTTTTAACAACTATCTGTGGGAGATGCTCCTTATTAATTTTTAGCAATTAATTTTTGGATGCTGTACAAAATCTTACAGACAGTGCTCTGAAATCACCCAAGAACAATTAAATGGAGAGTTCTTGTACATCACGTTAGGTTACAAAGGAAAACTGAAATAGATGTCAGTGCCAGCAGAAAGCAGTTCTTCGCCTGGTCTAGACAGTTCCTGGGCACGATAACACAGGAAGGGAAAGAAGCAGACATCCAGGAAAACTTCATGCTTAGTTTGACTTCTTATTTATTTATTTATTTACTGTTACAAACTGATAAAAACTGATATAAACTTCAGAAGGGAAGGGGAAAAATTCAGCGGTTAGAACTCTCTCTAGAGTCTGTATTCTTTTCTACCCCCAATCCGAAGTTTCACCTCCATGTAAGTGCTTTTCAGTGACAGCAGTATTATAGTATCTTATCATAGAATGGTTTGGGTTGGAAGGGACCTCAAAGATCATGAAGCTCCAACCTCCCTGCTGCAGGCAGGGCTGCCAACCTCCATATATAACACTAGACCAGGCTGCCCAGCGTCCCATCCAACCTGGCCTTGAACACCTCCAGGGTTGGATGGGGCATCCATAACCTCTCTGGGCAGCTGTTCCAGCACCTCACCACTCTCATAGTAAAGAACTTCCCCGTGGCATCCAACCTAAATCTTCCCTCCTTCAACTTAAAGCCATTTCCCCCTGTCCTGCTGTTATCTACCCTCTCAAAGAGTTGATCCCCTTCCTGTTTGTGGGCTCCCTTTAGGTACTGAAGGCTGCAGTGAGGTCACCCCGCAGCCTTCTCTTCTCCAGGATGAACGAGCCCAACTCCCTCAGCTTGTCTTTGCAGGGGAGGTGTTCCAGCCCTCTGATCATCTTTGTGGCCCTCCTCTAGTCTTGAGTTACTCCATCTGAAGGACAGAGCTGAATCTTATCAATAGCCAAATAAGTTGCTCAGCACTTGTTTAAGATTCCTTTCCATTTTGCCTGAGAATTGCTAAGCAGAAAAGTTTAAG